ATCTATGTGAAGATTTGTTTCCATGGCTGCTGGATCAACAAACCAGGAGGTTGTAGAGTTAAGAAGAAAATAGCACCATGAAGAAATACATTCGGCGTTATAAACTTTGAGTAAATCTGAACTTTCTATAGAAAATGTATTAAGATTTTTTTTTAAAATTTAAATTAAAGCTTGAAACAATGGGTTCGGATCCAGCCCATGGCCATTTGCTGCAGGTCCTTCTCCCCACTTTCCCGTCTTCCTCTCTACTGTCCTCTCAAAAAAAAATTTGAAAGGCAAAAAAAAAAAAAAAAAAAGATTTACAATATTTTACAAAACAAACTATAAAAGTAGTTCTCAAGACTCAGATGTAGCTGATGGTCATATTAAATTCATGTCATAGTTAGTCTTCGCAAATCAAAGATGTAAGCATAGCAACCACACAAATTGTCTGCTCACAACATCTACACATTACAATCACAACCTTTGTTTGGCCTCGTGTCAGTTTGTCATAAATGACTCACATTATAAAGACATACAGACTAATACAGGCAGCAGTTTGTCAAGTTGAAGTTCCTCTAATGTTGAGTTTTCTGTTGAGACTTTCATAAATGCACAAACAATTTTTCCTGTTGCATACCACTTTAGCCACAATTTTAACCCTCATCCTTACCAGCAACCTAATAGGACAACTGCCATCTTTCCCCTACAATCCTCCACTCTGTCAGCTAAACTATCCAAGGACATAAAAGCGACACAACATTAAATTTTTAATGTTTTATTTGCAAAAACTCAGAGCTACAAGGACGTCTGTGGAGTGTGAAGTTAGTTGACTTTACTGCTAGTATTGTTAAAAGCAACATTCTGTAGAAACCTCACACACAATCATACAAAACAAAGTGTTGCAAGGATTGACAACAAGTTTGAGCTACTATCAGATTTTTACATTTTGGCATTTGAATAAATTGAACATTTTTTCCACAGGAAAATAGCCTGAGCGGGGCATTTAAATCGAGTTGAAATCGTGCTAATGTTAAAAAAAACACATTTATGGACACAGACTGCAGAGACAAAGGTTAAACATCTGATATTTCACTTATCAACTGGAACAGAAATCACGCTGCATGTGGTTAACAAAGAGGAACAGCAGCCACAAGATGGAACGAACAGAGATGTGACTAACAATGGAGCCATGTTCGTGGCAAACTACCAGGATTGTTAGGATTAGTAGGACTGCTTAGATCAGATGTTTCATGGAGACAGTGAAGGAGGAAGTATAGTTCATGTGACACCAAGGGAGTATGACTGTGTTTGTAGATTTTTGCTTACACATTAAGAACAGGCTGTGCTGCATACCAGAACATCTGCCGATTCAATAACTAACTGCTATTTCAGCATATTTGATCGGAATTTGGTTTGGTGAGCTCAAATGAAACCAAAAACTTCACAACACATACGCCAAACTACACAGAGACATTAAATATGTGGTAGAAATACACACATTCAGAATACCAACATAATAACTAAATTATTATCATGTGCATCATGAATAGTTGCCGTAAAACCCTATTTTGATATGTTTTTCTATATCAATACCACAAAAATGCAGCTCTCCTTTACATGCCCATCAGTCATCAGCCTCATGGTTCACCTCCAGTTTTCTGTGATTCATGAATGTATGCTTAACTTACACCGTGTGCTTTGTTCAAACAAAATGAGCATTTCATGTATGGGTCCACTATAGAAGTCTTGAGGGTGTGGTGTGCTTCGCAGCTCATTGCTCTCACGCAAAACCTGCTGTTTAATTATCATGTATACATAACAGAATGACAGTTTATATTAACTGGCTGAATTTACCTTTAAATGATGCAGTTTTTGCTGTAAATAATTATCTTTGTCATGAGGCTTTATGCGGTTTCTTTCGTCTTTTTGTGCTATAATTGCTAGTGCAATATGTAATACTACATACCATGACTGCCTCACCCCTGCAGGTCATGTTTGTATATGTGATGGGTGTGTATAGTCTATAGTCATGGTCTTTTCTTCTACTTGTCAGCTTTTTAGTCTGTGCAGATGAAAAAAGGTGTCTCATAGTGTCATAAAATACAAATCTAATCTAATATGAAGTGGTTGGAAATGTATTGAGAATGAATGTTACATGTTAAATTACATCACTGTTCTTATCTTTCCTCATTGCTTTTGTGTTTGTGAATGTTTGTGTAATTAGAAAATGTTATAGTGTCATTAAGTTTTAAACACAAGTGTGTTCCACTACTACCTGTTTTAAAGAATGTAGAATGGATACACACCCTGGACGACTACCTTCTGTGTAATAAAGTATTGAAGTGCATTACCATTCATCAGTTTCTATGTGCAACTGAAAAAACAAAACAAAACTGAGTGACAGCAGAAATCCATCCATTATCTATACACATGTTAATCCTCAGTAGGGTTACGGGGGGCTGGAGCCTATCCCAGCTGACTTAGGGCGAAGGACAGCAGGAATCTAAGCAAAAATCTAAACATTGCATTAAAAACTTTTACACTTGACGAAAGTGGGAAAATGGGCAAATCAATCACAACAAACTCAACATATGAATCATGGCACAACATAAATAACGACCTTTTTTTTCTGCAATGGCAGAGTAGAGTTGCAACAATGAACCAACTATTGCAGCAACCGTCAGCTATTCAGATAATCGATTAATCGGTTGAAGTCATTTTTTACAAAAACAAAATTCTCAGATTCTAGCTTCTAAAATTCGACCATTTCTTTAACCCTATGTGACTGAAGGTAAACAGAATACTGTTGGGTTGTGGACAAAACAACACATCTGAGAACATTATCTTGGACTTTGGAAAACATCAATTAATGCTTTTTAACCATTTCCTGCCATTTCAGCAACTGACTGATTAATCAATTAGCAGATTAATCAGCACTGAAAATAATCACTAGTGGCAGCAGGAGATGACAACTTATGTGATATGATATGAGCTTCTTAGCCAGCGAGGATCAATAAAGGTGTCTTATATGATCTTAAAATACAAATGTGTTCTAATATGAAGTGGTTGGACATGCATTGAGAATGAAAGTTATACGTTAAACTGTGTCACTGCTGTTGTTTTTCTTACTGGTTTTGTACTATGTGTTTGTTAGTGCTTGTGCCGTAGAAAACACATAATTAATTTTAAACCACAAGTATGTTCCACTACCTGTTTTGAGGAATGTATAGTGGATACACACCCTGGTAAATATTTCAAAGATCTTCATGAGGAAGTGAAAGTTAAAGCTTTTGAATAAAAGAGAAGTGGGCTTTGATTGATGTCCATCCCATCCATGGCTCTCCCTTATTACCAGCATTAAGAGGCCCTCGAGTGACGTATGTGAAGTTCTGGAGAGCAGATGGGATTGTCTGGTACGTGGTCACATCAAGGAGAGATATCAAAAAAGGGCATTGCTCTGTAGATGAATAAAGTTTATTTTAAATGAGTAACTCCTAAGTAAAGAGGACCAGATAGGTTTTCATTTGAGTTTGCTCATGTTTATTAAGTGTCACAGTAAGACATGATATTGAATAGAATAGAATAGAACTTTATTGATCCCTTTGGTGGAAACCTCAGGGAAACTGCTGAGTACTATATATTATTATATATATATATAATATTGTGAACCAGCAAACATGCATGACAAGCCACCACGTGTGCTGCATGAGCCCTGCAAGTGAAATAAGACGTCCTCAAGGACATCGAGGGAGACTTGTTCAGAACTCAGCCTGACATGTTTGGTGTCTCTAGAAACTTGCCGTCTCCACTGTAATTTCAGCGTTGTGAGTTTGAACACTCATATAACACATGGCAGACTGCAACAGCTTCAGGACGGACTTTGTAATCCTAAGATCCACAAATCAATCAAGTGGCTGGAACCACGTCAACAGCTGCCACATTCAGTAGAAACTAAGTCTTACGCAAGAGACATCCATCTGTCTTCATTGTCTCTTTGTCACTGTCCAACCCTTTTCCACCACACCGTCTCCCAGCTGAACACACACTCTAAACTCTGAGGCCTGCAGTTATTTTATAAATCAGAAACCACGACGGAAAGAAAAGCAACACAGAACAGAAACACAACACATCTCATTGTTTTTGATTTTTTTAAATTTACTCATACATTTCGTATAAAATAGTTCCACTTGGACAACTGTGTTTTATCATGAGCTACAGCACTACATGTAAGCAACAGGAACTGCATTGTTTTGTAAAAAGAGTCAGGATTACAATGAGCTTGGAGGCACTGATGCTTTGCTTGTTTCGTGATGCCATTAAAAGTGCTCGATAGGGTCGTGCTGGGTTTTGTTGTGCTGCATATCACTCAGCTCAAGGTCTCCTCCATTGCACGGCAGCTGCTTGAAAACACGGATGTGAACATATTCGTCTCCTCCCACATGAACCTGCAAAAAGGTACAAGCAAAGTTTATTTACTGTCCTTAAAGCTCTGTTGAAAAAAAAAAAAAAAAGTCTGTTCTTTAGGGGCCAAATTTTGAATAATGCTAAAGCTGATAACTTTTCTGCCTGCTGTTCGGATCTTGACTTGTAGGATTTATCGAGCTTTTAATTATGAGGACGATTGCCTACGGTGTCAATAAAATATTGAAATGCACTACCATTCATCAGTTTCTATGTGCAACAGAAAAAACAAAACTGAGTGACAGCAGAAGTCTAAACGAAAATTTAAACATTGTAAAAAACTTCTACATTTGGCTAAACTGGGAAAATCAATCACATGGCATGACTTAGCAGGAGATTACAACTTTCCTGATATGAGCTTCTTAGCCAGTGAGGATCAATAGAGGTGTCTTATATAATCTTAAAATACAAATGTGTTCTAATATGAAGTGGTTGGACATGTATTGAGAATGAAACTTATACGTTAAATTGTGTCACTGCTGTTGTTTTCTAACTGGTTTTGTACTCTCTGTTTGTTCATGCTTGTGTCATTAGAAAACATATAATTAAATTTAAAGCACAAGTACGTTCCACTACCTGTTTTCAGGAATGTATAATGGATACACACCCTGGTAAATATTTCAAAGATCTTTATGAGGAAGTGAAAGTTAAAGCTTCCGTATAAAAGTAAGAGAAGTAGGCTGTGACTGATGTCCATCCCATCCATGGCTCTCCCTTATTGCCAGCATTAAGAGGCCCTCAAGTGACGTACATGATGTTCTGGAGAGCAGACTGGATTGTCTGGTACTTGGTCACATTAAGGAGAGATATCAAAATGTTGATTACTTTGGATTACCTCCAAGAAAAGAGGGTCAGATAGGTTTAAAAAATAAAAATAAAAATAAATTCTAGCTTTTAAAATGTGACCATTTCTGGTGTCTTTACCCCTCTGTGACTCAAACTGAATATGGTTGGGTTGTGGACAACACAAGACATCTGAGGAGGTTATCTTGGACTTTAGAGAACATTGATCAATACATTTCACCAGTTTGTGTTATTTGATGGACCAGACAACTAATTGATTAAATGAGAAAATAATCAGCAGAATAATCAACACTGAAAATGATCACTGGATGCAGCCGTGCTAGAGAGATTTGTCTTAAACTTTTCCTAAACTAATACATGAAACAAACATAGCTGCCTTATTACTACGTCACGTTTGTATTACATGTGTTTCAGGAATACCTGACAGGAGAATCCTAAGTGTTTAACTCAACGCACTCCTTATATTCACATGACATGACTGGATCAGAACACACAATTCGTTTATGCAATTTACTGGAAATTTGTGGTAAATCTGGATGGAATTTGGTATGAAAGAAAACAGTGAAGCATCACATTAAAGACATATACTGGAAACCCAAAAATGCTGCAGCTAACCCCAACTGAAAGAACTGTAACAATAGAGTTTATTTCTGCAAGCATTTAGATGCATGATCTGTTGTTTACATAACAGTATTCACAGCAGCTTTAAGAATAAAGGTTAGTGTATAGCCATGTCTTTCTGGGGAGTCACCAAGGAAGATCGATTGTTATCATGTGTGCACAACATTAGGAAAGCATCATCTCTGAAGACTTCCAGGGATATTTGCCTTGTAAAAACAACAATTACCTTGATGAAGTAGTTGGTCCCGGCCACCAACTGTGACCTGTAGCTCTTGGCGACGAAAGCACCAAAGTTCTTCCCTGCTTTTACCTCTGCATGAGGCTTCATCTGAGCAACAACGAGGCGACAGAAACATGAAAGTGAAACGCAGGCACCAGTGTGACGGGTCATGATGGAACAAAGTCAAAGAGCAAGAATGATCCTTCTTTTACTTACCTGAGCACAGATTTGGTGGATGCTTTCGTCGGGTTCCTTTACATCAGCGAGTCCTCCACAGAGCGGCATGGTGACAGAGTTTCAGTTGCAAAAATCAACCCAGAAAAGAGCGAAACGGGAGTGTTTATATGAGGTGCCGTTCAAGTTGAGTCACTGAGATCATATGATTTCCTGGATCGTACCATCAGCGTGGGGAGCGGAGGGGTGGGTGAGGATTTTAAACGACGTCACAAACAGGGTAAAACAAAAAGTTTCTGTTTGCAAAAAGAAAAAAAAAAGCGTGAGTTCATTAAAAGTATCTATTCCAAATGGTCTAAATAATAAGAAAGACGGAAATTCAAATATATTTTTTCCAAATGTGTTTTTAAAAAGGAAACATTTTCGCTGTCATGTGGGCCAGTCCGAGGCGTGGCTGTGTTGCCAGGTGACAGACCACCCTCCTGTTCAGCACACTGTTGGGAAACCAGACTGGAACAGCTGGAGGAGGGAAAGAGAAACGCCCGTGAGTTCTTGTTTGCGGAGGATCACAGATGAGTCATTGACCCATCAAACAACTTCGTAAGCTTTTCTAGTTCTTTCGTCTGGTTGACACTTTCGCATTGAAGCGAATCACTTCTCTTGTTCACCCCGTATACTATGTAAACTTGCACACTGTTGGGTGGATAACCTGCACATTCCTGCACCCTGGAAATATTTCTATAGCTTTAACTCTAATCTTGCTACACTTGCTGTTGTTTTGACTTGTAAGACTTCTTATTAATCCTGGGTGATTTACTGTCTACTGACTTGCAACACTTTTCGTCCTTTTTAAAACATTTTGTACATTTTAGTGTGTGCTAGAAGTTTAGTTATGTACTAAAACACCATGCCAAAAAACCTACTTAACAATAAAACTGGTTCTAATCACAGTTACCAAAAGAGTAGAGTTGATATTATTTTAGGATTTATTCTCTCTCTCTCTCTACACCAGAGATGATTTCTAAAATGCTGTACATGTTCACAGTTTTTGTAGCAATCAGTGTTTTATTAACTTTCTATAAACTGATTTTTCTTCTAATCTTTTGTCTTAACAGCTGTGGTAGGCAGTAGACCACAGGAACTTACTCATCTTCTTTTATACATACATATTTCTACTATTTACAGTGCTGGAACTTCAACTACATTTACTTTATTGGTACTCTTTTCAAGTTAATAGCTCTCATTTGAAAGTAATTTGCTGTTTTGACCCTTTCACAACAACTTTCCCTTCAGTAGATTTACACCTTGGTTAAGCGGGGAAAGTTGGTACATCAATAACAATAAAACAAACCCCTGCTCCTATGAGAGAGCAAAGCTGCACCTATTGACGACTGTTCAATTAATGATCAGCCATCGATTAATTGTGAAAATTAATTTTCTAAGAAAAAAAAACAGTAAAATTAGATTTTTTTTTTCTGGTTTTGTCACTCCTTCATGATAGTAATCTGATTATCTTTCAGTTGTGGACCAAACGAGAGATTTGAGGACATCATGTTGGACTTTGAGAAAAACTGAAGAATAGTTTTCACCATGTTCTAGCATTTTAAATACTAAAATATTTTTTCCTCCACAGTCTGACAGCATCAGCTTGTTCAAACCTTTCACTAATTCTGAGATTACAATTGGATAGAGCCTTTATTGGTGCCACTTTGCTGATTGTTATACATTTTTGTATGTCCGACCCAGTTTTGTGTCTGTCATCAAATAGAAATGTTTTTTTATATGTCTTGTAAATCATTTTGGATAAATTTCCACCAACATTCGGTCCGACGTACACTTGTAAACTTGTAAACCAGGCCAAACGTGCTTCCGACAGGACTCCGTTGAAATTTTCAAGGTGGCGCTGTGGAGCCATTTTTTCAGTGACATGTCCACATGTCTGATTTCCGATTTCCGCCAGTCCTGATGTGTGTGGTGATTTTGGTGAGTTTTTGAGCACGTTTAGGCCCTCAAAAATGTGTTCAAAGATTCCGCCAAATAATAATAATCACAAGGGTTCCAATAGGGTCCTTGCACTGGTGTGCTCGGACCCTAACTATATAAAATGTATTCAACAATAAATAAGTAAATAAACCAGTGTGACCTATATGAAAACAGTGAGGTAGTTTATTGTAGTCAAGATTGTTTTTTGGTCCAATGAGATCACTATAAAACAGGAAGTGTATCTGATGTTGCACTTCTGGATATTGAAACTGCTGAACATTTACAGAAATGTCAGGGCATATAGTGCAGTGCATTTTAGAAAATGCACACACAAGTATGTCAACATATGTAGAGGTTAACATAGAACACTAAACTTTTACCGCTGCACAATAGAGAGTGTCCTGTCCTATGGATGTACAGTAGTGGCAGCTGCATGGCATCGGAGAGAAAACAACTTGAGCTGGACATCAAGACGGCTCAGTGGATCATTGGCCTCAAATGTATTCATACCCTCCCGTTAAAGAAGGGGAAAAAAATTACTGAAATAAGTTGAAATTGACAAAAGTGATAATAAATAAAGATTTAATGAAAATCATGACATTGCTTTTGAATTGTGATTTAACAGAAATATTAAAAAGAAAAACAAAAAACAAGCAACAAGCATGATGGGACCCATGAGCTAATATTTAGTTGTACAACCCTTTGAGCCAATAACTGCAATCAAGTGTTTCTGTAACTCTCAATCAGACTTGTGCACCTATTGACAGGTATTTGGATTGTGGCCCACTGCTCATCAGCAAAGTACTCTAATTTGTCCGGAACAGTTTTGTTTTTTTAAATTACTATTTTCAACCACAATTCAAAAGCAATGTCCTATTTCACAAAATTATAATTTAACAAATTTCTATCTATTATTACTTTTTTCAGTTTCTAGTTATTTGAGTGACTATTGTGTTTTCTGTAATGGAAGGGTATGAATACATTTGAGGGCGACTGTACTTGAGTTGTCTCCTCCGACGGGCCACAAAGATCCGGAATGACCTCACCCACCCAGGACACTCTCTGTTTACCACCGTCCCATCTGGCACACTCAGAGTCATGAGAGCTCGTACCAACAGACTGAAATACAGTTTTCTCCCCATGGCTGTGAAGAGACTGCTGCAGGAACCATGACACTCCCAGTTTACGGACTCATTCTAACAAATACTCTTTTGCACTTTTAGTAGTTGTTTTATTGCTATTTTATTATTTATACCACCTATTAACTTTTTTCTTCTTCTTCTTAGAACTGTGATCATATTAGCTGCTACAAAGATGATGCCAAACGAAATGTTGTTGTATTTTTGAACAATGACAATTCAGCTTCTTCTTCTGATGTCTTGAAAACTTGATTTTAGCTTCTTTTTTTTTTTTTTAACAGACACAGTCTAAAGTCGTTCCCCAAAAATCTAAATCATCTAAAAATAACACCATCATATGTCATTTTTGTGTAATTGTCGCACTTTTGGGCTCTAATTAAGACACTAATTAATGCTCCAGTATTCAATATTAGGACAACGGTTTGATTGTAACACGGTCAACATTTTTTAGCTTGGTTTGCAAGAATCCTGACTGACCTGAGCTTCAACCCTGAGATATGAACTGAAACACCAATGATTGTGCACCAGCCTTTGCACCCAACGTGACTAATGAGTCTGTGGCTCAATGGGAGTAAATGATGTGGAAACGTTTCCCACAAGTGTGTACAGAATCTGCTACTACACTGTATGTGTAAGGCTGAGTAATTTCCTTTGCATTTATCTTAATGCCCACCTAGTCTGGAATATTCATCTTATTTTTGAATTCTAGAGAATGTAACTGCTCTGAGCAACGCAGGCTGGAGATTAACGAACAAGCAAAAAGGAAATACATTGAGGACATCTGCTGGAGAAACCGAGCTGTTACCGATGTTACAATCCAGAATTCCCTCCATGTGGATGAGCAGATTCATTGGTGTAAAATAGAATAAAAGACCTCTTATTCTAAATTTGGCCGCCTGACCTAGATTCACTGTGTTCAGGGTTTTTGTGTTCAGTTCTGGCTGATGCCAATTAAGATTTGTTGGCAAAGACATGCAGAAAGAGAACAATTCTCCAGATTCAGAAAACCCAACAGTTTTGACTAAATTTAACTGAAAGAAAATCTGCAAGGAGGAGAGATTACTTTGAGCTGCAATGTAATTTCTCCTATTTACTTTACTTTTTTCCCCAATATTTTTTAATTCACAAATGTATTAATAAAATCACAATAAATAACAGAAGTTATTTACAACTTGTAGATGTAAATAATCATAAACATTTTTAAATCTTTAAAAAATTGCCTTTTTATTAAATGGATGAACCGTTTGATTCAAGTGTAGAACTATAAATATATTTCTAAAATCAGATACAACTGGTGACAACAGAAAAATAAGAAATTGTTCTATAATTGTATGTAGATTTTTTTTGTAAAATTAGAGATATATTGTTTTCAAGTACAGAACAAAATATGTA